GAAGCTTCCAGCAAAGCTCCAACAATGACCCGATTCGATGTGCTCTCACTCATCGCGCAATATTGGCCATACGCGCAATGTCGTTTATCTGTGTGAAACACGTCATCACTTCTTCGTAATTTTTATCATAAAAACGTTACCCGAACACTTTCAAAGGCGCTACTCAGTATCGACTATCGACATCATTACCTGCCACGGCTGTACCGGCGTCTACTCCCTGATCGATCGCCCCTGACCTTCACCGGCGGGAGGCCGCACAGAGTCTGGGAGGGGAGGGGCAGTCGCCGGGTCATGGCAGGTCAACTGCAACCCCTGTCCCTCCACGACCCTGTGCCTGTCTGCGGCAGGGAGGTCAAGGCCAATATCCCCCGGGCACCCAGAAGCCCCTCCCCAGTCGCACACATGCTGAGTCATCCCCTAAATCGATCATTCGGGCCGATCAACGGCATAGTTCTCACTTCTCAGCGAGTGTTTATTAACATAAATCGACTTCCAGGGTCTCCTCGAACGAGAGCGCGAGGTATAGACGTGGGAAAAACATTAATAGACACGTGATCTATAGACGCATTGTTTTTTTGTACATATTTCTAAATTAACAGTAAAAATAGGAAGGAGCACTGAAGCCCGAAGGCTTTTCAATATGATACAAAACTATAACGTATATGATGACTGCATCATATTGAACATAACAAAGCATAAATGAAACATCATATAACTAATGTTTGATGGAGATACCATACCGGGTAAGACGCACCCCGGGTAAACTAAAGTAGTTGAGCATTTGAAACATAGACTAAGGAACACATCCTGACCTGAATAATTCATCAGGGAACATCTGAATCATTCCGAAAGCTGAGAGAACAACAGACTTAGTACAACAACCACAGAAAACGAACAATGTGGCCACGTCGGAAGAGTTTCATTTTTATCCGGAAACGCTTTGCATAAACCTGTTTCGACTTTTTGTGGGATGGCTTTTCAGAATCACTATGGGCTATGCTAAGCTATGTTTTCACTTTTCTGCTAATCCTGGATTTTCTAAATCCTTATGAATCTGCTAGTCATCTCCAAAAATGGTATGCCGTCGGAAACGTATCTTACTTGACAAGCAACCACGAGAGTCCAGTTGCGTGAATTATCTTATCTGAAACAAGTTGTCAAAGTATGTCCGTGCTATAACAGTAACATAGATCTGGGTCTCGCCAGTAAAGTTACTTAACTTCTTGTAGTATTTGCTTCAATGATATTCGGTACCAGACACACAAATATCAGTAGGTATGCGAGGTTAATCACCGTGATAAGAATGCGTGTATAAAGGTCGATACAGGTTACAATGCAAAATAAATTGATTGAACATTTGCAATGATCATCTCAGTTGTATTTTTTTTTTTTTTTGCTATCGGGTTCACATAAACCGGTTTAACGTAACGTTTGCTCCGCGGCCAAAACTGCCGGAGTAATTGCCCCCTGCTCGGAAATGGCACTAGGCTAGGCTGGCACTAGGTCTGCTAAACGCAACATGACGCACGTTTCAGAAATTGCCAGATTGACGGCTTCGTCATTGAGACTGCTAAACAAAGCGACTGTTGCCTGTTGTGCCCTGCAGTGCCAGCTGTGTGTCTGTTTGACCTGTTGACCTGATCACCTGTATCCAATGAGCAGAAATAGCAGCTGTTTGGCGGCTGTTTCGAGCAGGGGGCTCGGTGGGGGGCTGTCAACAAACGCTGGCACAGCTCCAGAGTTGCGCTGCGGCTCGCCAAATAGCCAGTGGTGTCTGAGACCTCACCAGAGACGCACAGAGACAAGCTCAGGTCTCGTTGTGGTACTGTGACACAGATTCAGAGGATTTCTGGCCGCCGAAGTCCCGTTTAAAAACGATTTCGTGAAAACCAAGCTTTGGACGATTGACTCAAGAGTTGGCAGTGGCAGATGTGCTCAATTTAGTCCATTTAAAGTCCTCTGCCAGGAAAACGAACGAAGACTCATCGAGTGTGGTGTGGGAGAAGCTTCAGAAAATGATCGGCTGTACTCCAAAGACGTGCCCTGGCGCGGAGAAGGTGGAAGGGTCAGCGACTCCACAAGTGGACGGTGTGGATGGACAAGATGAAGTGGACAATGATGTGTGTGGAGAGCTAAACCCCAACTTTCGGCCGGACGGGAGACCTCGCTTCAGGTCAGTACATTTCGATCAGTACAGTACCGATCAGCCACCCACGACAGATTAGATTTATTAATCAAACAAGTCGTAAGAAGGTGCTCAACAGTGTGGTTTATTTCAAGGCCGCGTATCCAATTTTAGTTCCCCAACTCCCCCACCCGGTAGTGCCGCCGCTCAGCGGGCCGTGCCTGTTGCTACGATGGCACACGTGACTGTCCTCATCCTCAGTCGCCCCATACCTTGTCACGATCCGGCGACACCGGCCCGCCGGCCGTAAAAGCCTCTCTACAGCTAACCGGCTTAATGGCAGACTGCAGTTAGTTACTGCAGCGCGAAGGTCAGACTCGATCCGTCGGCGGCCGCGGCGCAAGGCCCGGCTGCCTGTCGGGGCACCATTACCGGGCTCAGCCCTGGCGCGGCCGTCTCCCCATAGAATCCCACCCGCCCTGACGTCAGCCCAGGTCAGAGGTCACTGTCGGCCACGTCAGAGGTCACGCTGGGAGCGGCGGTCGCCGGCTCGTCGGTGACCTGCGCATTGTCGGCCGGGCCAGCGCCGACCATTCGGTCCCGCCGACCCTGACCGGGGCTGGCCGGACGGTACCGACGGAGGGGCGTTTAACGTTCGCGGCTGGCGTCATCGGTACTGCACTGACCATGAGCTCGACAGGGGAGGCGCCGGACGCTTAGATTCATTATGGCTAGGGGTGAAGTTAATAAACATTCCTGGCGTATGATAAATCAGGAAGACGTATTCACTTTCGTGCACTTCGCCAATCGATATAGGTATGTTATGGCGTGTCCCACCTCCGTTGTATCTGATGTAAATTCTTGAACCTTGAAGCAGATAATGATATAATCGAATGAAAAACTCAGATTTCTAAACGTCACAAAACAACTTAAGAGATTATTTGGATTAATAATACCGAACTTTTGATAATAAAGCCGCTGAAAAATATTAAGGGATATTTGCAAGAGGACGGCTAAACTCTTCTTGATTTGGGTCGCTTGCTTCGGGTGTTGTTTTTGCACTTATTCATGTTGTTGCCGATTTGATAGCGAGAGATAAGCATAACGGTGAAGTTAAAGCAAGCCACCGGATAATACATGTTAAACACAAAACGTCTTTACATTTGTTCAGACACCATGAGTAAAAGCGTCTAATACTCTGTATTAGTCAGACAACAGACAAGCTACATAACAGCGGATTATTGTAATACCGCAATGCTCGCATCGCAGTAAATTTTATGACACCTTACCATTTACGAGTATGTATAGTTTTTATGCATTGAAAAGGCATTGTGGCGTCAACAGGTTAGATCAACTTCAAAGTAAGATTACTTTGGGTAAGCCTATGAATAACACACGGTGCTATTTCTAGTTTACTATCACATGCTGATAGTTTTAGACATACTAGTTATATACGACCTTACTTTGTTTGCATGAAACTACACGATTTAACACAATGGGAAATAATAAAAGCATTGTAATTTCACACCTTTCTATACGTTTCGTGATTGTGATTTGTGAACTCCACAGGACCGCGACAAACACCTCCTCCAACCTTGAAACGAGCGGGACTGGGCGAAAGTGGGTTCATTCATGTGTAACGATGACTGAATGTGATTTCTATCATCTGCAGACGAGTCGAGCAGCATGTGCAGCCTGCAAGGTGAAGGTGTCGCATTAAAGGATTTTTACGGTTATAAATATAAGCAAATTGTAACCATGAATATTAGTAAACATTTCATCATATTACAATATTTTGTAATGATGCTGTGCAACCAAATAGAGTGCCCAAAGCTGAAATGCTTCTTGCAATGACTACTTTACAAAACATAAGATCGCTTAGATAGCCACCCCAAGCTCTGAAATGGTCCATAAAAACTGTCAGGCTGCCGGAAAGTGTAATCTGAAACCGGCTGGTGCAGGAGCTCCCAGACTCAGCTAGCCAAATGTAGATTTAAAGATTTCATACAGCGTTCGATATTTTCAGCTTTGGAACGCGGAAAGACGCAAGACAGAAACCTGAGTCACTAATTTTTGTTATTAGCTGTCATACATCATGAGTCATGATTAATTTATGGTGCTTGGGATCAGTTAAGGTTACAGTAATTTTGCAAAACATACGGTGGGGTCATTGATTATTTGATGAGAGAGGTGAAATGAGAGGTGAAAGCGAAAGATTAGTGACAATAGTTAGGTACCTGCTGCAAGCCCCGTTAACATACCACCAGTTGGTTGACATGGCCCTGATAATGTATCTGAACGATCAATATTTAAGGTTATTTTCAATTAAATCCTGAATACCAGATGAATGTGTAGGAATGAGGGCTAAATTTCCCCTCTGCGCGTTTACAAAACTAACGTCATGTTTTTCAGCGTACCGTTTATTCTGACCATGGAGTGCGTACAATATTGTAGTGACTTAACCAGCCAAGTTTTTTTTTGTGATGATCCAAGGTGGCAGCCAGCTTGGACCCGTGCACCAACTGCGCCACAGCACATAATATATTCGCAGCCTTGATCAGAAAGCCCAGCAAGGCACCGGCCAGAGCGCGATAACAACAAAAGACAGGCAGATACGTGAAGAATCATTGACCTTTTCCTCGAAAATGTAAAAACAAGCTCCCAATAAAACTACATAGCTGGTGTCAAAACAACGTTTTACACATTAATTATGTCCCAGCTGAATAACAACATATACAACTAATGCCAAAAGTTATATTGAATGCGGTTATATTGAATGCGGTTATATTGAATGCGGTTATATTGAACCGCATTCATGACTTTTAGCATTGTTTTTACATTTTCGAGGAAAAGGTCAATGATTCTTCACGTATCTATTCTCGCTATGTTCCTCGCTCAAGCACTTCACACCATTAAAAGACAGGCAGGTTTTATTACGAACTCAATCATCTCCGTACCTCCTTTGTCTTGTCATGGTGTAGTCTCTCCTCAAGGCCTGCTCGCTGCGGTAGCTGTTTGTTCTAGACGTCTCACAGCTCTCCTTCCCGTGAACCGGTGACCCCTCTGGGGCGGGTAACATCGCTCACACACCGCCTTACATCATGAAGGTGTGCCACTCCATTAGTCGGGTCCGCAAGGGGTCGCTTCCGTGGCCCCTCACCGCTGAGCGCGGCGGGATATCCCCAGGGTCGCCCTCCGCACGGCGGCGGCGTCGCCATCTCAGCCCGACCGGAAGGAAGCACCAGCGCCGCTCGCCGCGCCGCCGACCTCTGACCTGACCTTGCACGGCTACGGGCACGACCAATGGCGTCGTGGCCGGCCGTCACGCTGCGCCGTGCCGAGTCTGCCCGGCGCGGCGGAGGAGTCTGATCAGAGACGACCCAGGTAACGGGCGGGCGGCAGCAGACAGTGGTGCCCCCTCTCAGACGGAGCTGAACCCCCGCACCGCTGCCGTCGGCACAGTCTGGGGAGAAGAGAGGACGCCCGACCTTCCGAACCCCCCGCTGCAGTCGTGAAGTGCAGCTCGCGACAGGCGGAGGTCCCTCAGTGCGGACGGAAAGGGAAGGTGTGAAGTGAGACGGACAGGGCTGAGTGATACCAATCCTGCTACCCAAGAAGTAAACAATTATAATTAAGGAATCTGGAAGGAAAGTGTCTCGTTTATTGTGCTGAGGTTACTTTCCATCAAGCCAGGATTCTTCCACCACGATGCCGATGCCTCTGAGTCCAGCGTGCCGGGCTCGTAGGCCTCTGAACGGTGCCAACGGTCACCCGGATACTCACATGAACCGCTCCATGAGTTACAGCGGACACTCATTGAGTGCCGCCGCCAAGGAAGGCGAAAACGGCACAGGAACAAACGGAACTCATCTGGGGCACGAGGAGCGACCTATGCACCGGTCGGCAAGTCAGAATGGAAGTGCAATGAATCTGCTGAAAAGTCGAAACGGAACGTCGACAAATGGACATTCAAACGGCGACATGGTTCATGATAGCGAGAGTAAATTCAGACCAAAGACACCTCTAGCAGCAGTGTTTGCCGAGCACTTGTCACTCAGGTAGGTGCCAGCGCATGTAGGAAACAACAGGGCTGTGTCACTGCGGTACATGCTTGCAAAAATAATCAATTGGCGTGGCTGAGGCTGCCTGCCTGAATTTGCATTATATGTGACCACAAGCATTTTTGTTCCACTGCACTGAAATTTTCCATGCTAATTGCTAGCCATCCATTTAACCGTAGATTTAGGCTGATCCCATCGATAACTTTCTGAGCAAAAAATCGATGACGCGTATGTTTGTGGTCTGCATTGTAGCTAAACAAGTGTATTTTTTGAAAGATTGCACGGCTGCATTCATGATTGATATAGTAGGTATTTAATTGAAAAAATCAAATACATGCTAAAAGTTTCATCTATTGCAATGTCAATTGCTAAAAAAAAATAGCCAAGCTTCCGTTCCGACAGCATTGTCATCATTCGACAGGCTAATGACAAAGTTGTCAAAACATCCACCATTTGACGTCTCTGATATAATAAAAAGCATTTTTTTTTGCCTGCTATTAATCACTCCGTGCAAATATCATCAGCCTTATACCTATTTGTAACGTTTCATAATCCTAATCGGCTGCGCAGTGCGCACATGTCTCCTTGAAGGAAGGAAAACAAGATCATGATCTGTGTTCATGATCATGAGATGATGAGCTTGTTGGGACGCCCTGACAGAATAATAGCCAATAAAGCAGCGAAAGCAATGACGGCAAGCTTCCCATGGAGCCTGTATGCTTAAAATACCTCGGTATTGTATCGTTACATGGTCGTCGCCAGTATGCCTTAGCTAACACCCTGTTCGGCTCCCGTTCTTTTCCAGACGGACGCGCTCGCTGAACGCCCCCAGCCCGATCCAGCAGTTCGGACCATGCGGACGCATCATGAAGAACTCGGCCATGGTCATGTGAGTACATGAGGTGCCGGTTCACCCCTGACCCCTCGGCACTGCCGCTGCAACCACCGGGTTCCCAACGGGACGGGACGGGATTGCAGGCCACGTTCACCCTGGGAAGATGACTTATGATGGTGCGATATGGCATGTGGGGCTGAACGTAAATCTCTGCAGATATTTGGTGGTGATTTTGGTGCAAGCTATGATCAAACGTTTTAGCACTAAGTCGATTAAAAAGAAAAGCCGTGCGTACCCCACCAAAGTGGATAGATCCCACCATCTTTAGAAGTGTTTATACTGAACAGAAACTCTAATTATAAGATTTGATAATTGTTCTTGAACACGCAATGCCATCCCTGTAAAATCCTGATACGTATAGATAAAATACGTTCCGTGCATCTTGAGGACCTCAGATACTCTGAACTATTGCATCATATCGTGCCAACTAGAACACATGTGCAAGACATTACCTGTATATGGAGCTTGTGTCGCCTGCACCCGGCCGTCGCTACCAGGCACAGCTCCTATGCCCAGGCAAAGAATGGGCAAGGGCAATCGATGCCTGTGTCACCATATCCAGACACCCGTTGTGGCGATGGGTGGCGAAACGCTACGGGGTGTTATGTATGGTGGCAGTGGCGGATCCAGGGGGGGGGGGGGGCAAAATGGGCATTTGCCCCCCCCCCCAAACGGCATAATTTTAACATTACGCCATACACATTTAACAGTGCGTACCCCCCCCCCCCCCCACACATTTAACATTATGGACGATGCATGGAAAGAATCGATAAATTGTTATGGTTTGCCTCCCCCCCCACCAAAACTCTGAGCTGGATCCGCCTCTGTATATGGTGGTGCGACAGCCCACTCGATACATGTGGTAATTTTAATGTTGCTCAAAAATCAAAATGTCATAGGTTGCCAATTGCCATCGATCGAAAAAAAAATCCTTTTTTTCTTCTTCTTAAATTTTGCACTATATGTTTGAACGTTTGCCATTCGTCTTGCCAAACGTAAATTGATAGCACGTCTTGCATCCACACCATTTTGTCATCAATGACAGGAATTTTACTCGTAGCATGCCTCTACGATATTTATCACTGGAACTGCATTGGGTCAACGACCTCCCCGCATTGTTCCTCCCCCACTTACTGTTGTTTGTTGACATTACGTTTAGGTCTGTAGCGGCCCATTCATACCTTCCATGACAATGTACTACAGGGTCTGCTTTGGACGATGAGGCTACCGCACACTTTTAATTATGCATGGCTGGACTTTCAATGAAACTTTACATGTTTGTAGCGTTTTCCATGTAACGCAATGATTTTCTTTTTTAACGTCGTCAATACAAACAGAACTAATCCATTATCATTCCGTTAGGCGAATCAATAATAGCTGCGTCCCTTCGATAGGTGTGCGCACTGCACATGCACCTATAGCGTCCCGTCCGAATAATGCCTAAAATGTCCTTCAAGCTTCAGCTTAAGACAGTCTGATTCTGTAACCTAATTTGTTGGTAACAGGAGTTTATAAGAGTTCGAAGTTCATCGTGTTTACTATGTATTCCTTGTTCACTAGATTCTCACAAACTCGTCATGTTTCGGCGAACACATTTCTTATGGCAACCTCGCCATTCACCGTGGATGGTAACACGCGCTGGCCGGACCACCCCCGTTCCCAGAAGCGCCAATATCGAGCGGTCTCGGTGCGACCGTACCGCTGCACCACCTTGCCGCGTGCGGGGACCTTTGTGCATTCATTGACCATTAATATCTCCGAAATGGAGCTTTCGTGAGCGTGGGAAACGAAAACCAGAGCGACTTTTTGCAAAGTGAGGGCATCCGTGGATTTTGATACGAAAGCAAATCTCAAAATTTTCAAAGAGCAAACATAATGGTTAAAATCGTCCAAAATTATGTCTCAAAATGTATTATAGCTTATTACTTTAGCAATGTGACAAAGAAGAAACCTGCAATTTTATTGCGGATTTAATGCTAATGGATTTAAATAATACAATGATAGAAGATATGTAGACATAGTCTTCTTCCATCTGTCCCTCACCTCTTGTGAACACCACTCGTGGCCCCTCTATCCGGTCTCGTAAACCCGCTATCCCACCCGGCACTCCGAGCCTGAATCGTTCCTCCTCGATTCCAATCACCGTGTGCACGGCGCCCCCCCCCCCCCCCAGCACAGCCGGTAAATCTCGGTCAAATGGGTCAGGGTCAGAATGGCACGGGATCACCCGCAAACGAGCCGACGAGGTGGCGGCTGTCGGGTAGATTGATGCTCCACTCTACTCGACGGAAGGTCGGTTCTCAGCGTCAGTCACGATCGGTGCAGGAAGGTAGAGAATAGGTGCATCACCTGTGCAGAGCACCGTCAAAATGAAGAGTTATGGTTGTATAACCAAGTGGGTGCTGAATGTTTGATGGAGGATTATGTCAGTCTTGGGAGGTTCGAGGCATTACAGATTCTGGCTCTGATGGAGTGGAATAAATTGAACAAGGCAGGCGCCAGGCGGTATAATTCTGCCTATTGCATTGGATCATTGCACTTCACTTCCACTTCGAATCTAGATGTTCTTGTATAATTCTGAAAAGTATTTCTTACAAATGTCGAGCTCAATGCCAAATTTACTCAAATTAAATAACCCAATGGAAAATAATTCAAATTTACAAATGACAACCCGTATGAGACATTTTCCAGAATTGCCCCCATCGAACGAAGGGGCACACTTCGGCCTTCGCCCATTCCGATCGACCTACACAAATTATTGACCGCAGCCGGTCACAGTGGCACACACGATATATGTCCGTCGTGGGACGTGGACCCGGCATTTGTGCTGGCGAGGGTCACCACGGGTCGATGGTGGGTCGGGGGGGGGGGGAGTCGGTACTGAATCACATGCGCGCGACGATATAAGGGAGGTGGTGGCCAGTAGTGGTCAGTGGTGGCAGGTCAGTGTGGGGTGAAGAGGCGGCTGGTCAGGTCAAGGTGCCCCGAGGGGGTCAGCTGAGGAACATTCACACAGACCGGCCGGAAACGAGGGGTGGAAAGAAGACAGGACGAAGAGCCACTCGCCTGTGATTGGAAGAAACACAGACAGAGAACTGAACGTCGGTCAAACGGCGTCGGAAGTCAAACCTAAACAAGCGATTAACTCCACCGTGACTTCCTCTGGCACTGGTCATCAAGAAGCAATGCTGGTGCTCTCTGATCAGACTTCGGAGCTGCTGGACGGCGGCCCCACACCACGCATCCCCGGCTCGACGAACGGCCTGACGTGCCCCGTCTCGCCCCGAGAGCTGACCGCATCCTGCCGACGGCAGGCACTGCCGTGGAATGTCAGCTTCCGCAGGTAACACAGCAGTGCACGGCGGAAAGGGGTTAAAGCGCATCCGGTCGTCAGATCATCTGAGTTTTAAATAGGTTGACGAAGAGGGATTGAGCTGTTTCGCTTATTAGCATCTTTGTATTTTGAAGTGAATTGAAAGAGAGAACGCTATTGTTTTAAGGCTTCGCACTCATCCAGTAATCTGTAAACTGTGTCGAAATGCCTAAGTTTGTAGCAACGGGTCCACAAGGTCACGTGATACTGTACGAAAAGCTTGAAACGTATTGCTACTGACTTGACAACAAAGCCTTACAATAAATATGTTTCAACTACTATAGTATTAGGCATTGCATTGATGTTCTGATATTGGAACAATAATGCATGAGAAGCAGAGTGGCACAATAATGAGCGATGCATCCATATTATGCTCAATGCATGGGCATAATGATCTGGATGGATAAAACTGTCGTTAAAAAAGCGCCATATCGTGGATGGCAATAAGCCATCTGGCCTTTTCTGATGTTTGCTTATTTCATAGCGACCGGGAAAGACAAAAAATTATCTTCATAAATCATGATGGCAAACACCATACGCTGAATACGGCACCCAAGGCTGAGTGCAGTAATCAATTGCGTCACGACCTGACTCGGTTTCGGCTTCAGCGTTTGCCCCGCGGCTCACATCATCAAAACACTGTCAAGGACAGGATATTGAGCTACCGAGTGGTGAAAACATGACAAAGTGAAACAGCAACACGACCTACCGCATAATAACCGCAATAATTTTCCCTAGAGATGCGGGTGTCAAACATTCGCAAAAATATGGTGCAAAAAGGTTGGATAACAACTGTTTTTTACAATCTATTCTGCACTGCTCGAGTCGGGGTGATGTATAACCTGGATGTATTAGTGCCCTGATCTATAAAACAAACCTCACGACAGTTCGAGATTCTCCGTGGGATCGTCCAAATTTAATTGAGACATTTAGAAGCGTTTTGAGTGTTTCGATCTCTACAGCAGGATCAGAGAGTGTTCCGATCTTTCCAGCAGGGCCTGAAAGATCCCCGATCTTTCCAGCAGAGTTTGAGAGCTCCTCAGCTTCCGGGGATCAGTTCTGGTCCGATCCCAGAGATCTTCGTCTTCCTCCGATCGGAGCTCAACGATCCATCATCGGTGGTGGTCCCACCCCGAATGCGAGCACGAACGGGCTGACGACCCTCACCGGTCACCACCAGAAGCCTCCATCAGCGCCAACCGAACGCCTAGTCTCCTCTGGTCCGAAGGATGACGCGGACGAGGAGGCGCCATCCACAGGATGTGAATCGTTTTGCTCCTGTGTCCGCCTGCCACGCCTGCTGTCAGTATTCAGCAGGGGGAGGCGGAGAAATGTCAGCGTCCATCCCTCTCCTCAACCCGTCAACACTAGGCCGGCTGAGGGAGTCTCGAACGGGTTCGTCTCCCATGAGCTGACGGAGCCACCGCGGCCGGCATTGCTGAGCATCCCCGCTGGCAGACGGGAAGGGGACAGCGGCTCAGAGAGGGACAGCGGCTCAGTGGCAAGGGACAGCGGCTCAGGAGAGAGGGACAGCGGCGGCTCAGTGGCAAGGGACAACGACGGCTCAGTGGCGAAGGACAGCGGCTCAGTGGCGAAGGACAGCGGCTCAGTGGAAAGGGACAGCGGAGACTCAGCGGAGACCCGCAGCTACCGAGCGGTACCGGGACCCGCGGCAGAGGGGCGCCTCCAGCTCCCCTGGCTGCCTCCGGAGGAACAGCTGAGTACCGACATCCAGCCGTCTGTGGTGACCTGCACTGCACCGCACCGCACAGCAACGCGGCGATCGGTTGTAAATTCGGTGGATGGATGAATGGATGACTTTGGAAGTAAAAAATTTGATGATTTTTGTTTAGATGTGTTACTTCACCGGCATTATACGTTTACACTTACTTTCAGCCTTCTCGGATGATCATCTCAGTCGCTTAGGAAAAAAAAAACGGAAAATTTAAGCGACGAACGAATGCAAAACAAGATAACCAATTTGTATCATTAATGATTAAGCGGAGCAAGGATATCCCCTGTTGAGCACCTTCCATCACAGTATGAAACTATCAAACAACATCCATGAATCCTTCTCGCCATTGTATATTTAAACGCATTCCTTACTTGATTTTTTTTCTTTTTTACTTGAAACATCACATATTCACAATGTGTCGCATGTACTGAATAATTTGGAATTTCGTTGCACCACAGGTGTTTGCTTATAAACTGTGCTGTTGTACTGTCTGCAACACAGTGGTTAGGAAAGTTGATGCGAGCACCTTGTGATTTTCATCGCAAAACGTGCGTGCGTGAACTCAAAACAGAACCATTATTCATTGCACAGTTCCGTAAGTTTCATCACTGTGAGGAACGGTGAATGAATGCAAGGAAAATTGATGTATAAAATCTTATATGCATGATTATTGGCGAATGTAACGCTGAAAGCTATTTTCGTCTCCCCGTAGCACGTGTGTAACCATTTAAGATTCTCCGAAGACTAAATAAGGACCGTCTCCCATCTCCGGGTGGGCAAGATACGATTATTGACTGTCTTGTGCGTGATCTAATAGTAGTCGCCCGTCAATCTAAATAAGCCCAGTATCGATATCTGGCCCTCCCACTCACTCGCCTTCTCGTAGTCCGGTATCGCCGATATACCGGGAGCGTATAGGAATTCGACTACCGACGTCAAATTAGACATTGATGACCACTCGGTACCGGATTCTCAAGAATTGGGATAATCATTACCGGCCTTTTGGGGCATTGGAGAGTAAAAGCAGGATCATTATGTAACAGTCGTGGGATTGCACGACAAAATCACGATTACTGTATTAACTATCAAATAAAGCAAAAGCAAGATAAGCTTCACGATAAAATCTACCTTGGCAGAGGTAACAATCCTGCTTACAGCAAGCAGTTACACATCACCTTGCTGCACGCCGAGGTACAATTGCGGTAGCTCGTCTTATTTAGCTGCGATACTGCGGTATAGCCTTTTTAACACATTTTTAGGTTCGACCGAATTGAAACTTCCTCCCAAAATGTATCCTGACGACTTTCCCTTGTTTTTGTTTCCCACAGGACGATCCAGGACCCTGCCAGCCAGCGTCTGACCTGGTACAAGGCGCCCATGGCCGTGCTGGTCATCAAGAAGGTCCGCGATCCCACCGTCCTGCCGCCCTTCATGCAGCTAGTCAACTGGCTGGCAGACGTGAGTGGTGGTGTGTGAAGCAGAATCGTATACCGTTTTAGATGGAGTCGGCTGTGTCAAACGATCGCGAATTAGAACCATGTCAAATTGACGTCAGAATGATAGCGGTGATTACAAACTGGTTTTGGATTAGTAAGATAAGGTTTAAGTGCTGCTTGCGTAATGAAGGTTGAAAAATGACAAATAACGAAACTTAGCCTTCATGGGTCGACCGGTTTCTTGCAAAAGTGAATCCAACTCTTGGTCAGCTGTGTAATGACTGGTCTTTTTTACACACAGGAGAAGAAAATGATTGTGTTTGTGGAGAACTCGACGGTAGATGACCCGCTGCTCAAGAACAACCCCCAGTGGGCGGCGACCAGCCACCAGAAGGTTCAGACGTTCAGGGACGGACAGGATGACCTTACGGACAAGATCGACTTCATCATCTGTCTGGGAGGAGACGGCACGCTGCTCTATGCCAGCTCACTGTTCCAGGTATACCTAATGGGCCGATAAATGCGCTGTCGACATTGTGTCAATTTAATTGTCAGCAATGTTGGATATCAACTCACAATATGAATTGCCAGCTTTTCATAGAAACTTACGCTCCGCTAGGCAGTTTCTTGCTCAATTAATTACCATTTCAACATGCCACGTTATCTTTCAGCAATCTGTACCACCTGTGATGGCTTTTCATCTCGGATCTCTGGGATTCCTCACTCCGTTCAAGTTTGACAACTTCCAGGAGCAAGTCGACTCCGTTCTTGAAGGTAGGTGCCCAACGCAAGAAACACTTAAGTGGCCTTTTCAAAGTCAGGGATTCATATTATTATGCGCATTTTATACTGGGGACGCGATGAAATAAGTTGTTGTCAGTTTCCCATGATTCTATTTTTACAAAGAAAAAGAATGACAAAGTTAAGAGTGTCATAAATATACATCATACAGAATCAGGTACTGACCAACCTGACCTCTGACCTCCTCAGGTCACGCGGCGCTGACTCTCCGCTCCCGACTGCGCTGTATCATTCTGCGGAAGGACTCGGACACACGCTCGGAGCCTCCCATCAACCTACTGGTGCTAAACGAGGTTGTGGTGGACCGCGGTCCGTCGCCCTACCTCAGCAACATCGACCTCTACCTGGACGGAAAGAAAATCACCTCCGTGCAGGGAGACGGTGAGAATATACCTAATACGAGACAAAATAAAAATAAATACTAAGGCGAAATCCCACGGCTTCAATGTACCTATTATGCCGGTAGTTGGGTATTCTTATTTTGTGGTTTTGCAGTGATGATCATATGCATGACGAAGAAACACGGCAATGTTAAGTTCTTGAGTTTGCATAATGCCGGATTTAGCTACCTGCCGGATATGAAAGACTATGTCTATCCACGTGACGCAGCGGCTGAAGCAAAGCAGACGGCTGAAAACTAGTGGAATACTTGTTGCTATGCACAGGCGATTATAAACTGCAGCTGGCAACTAGCAACAAAGAGTCACGTCAGATCCAAGCCTATACAACTCCGTCAGAGTACGGGAAACGTGTCTGTTTCGTCATTGCCAGCTGCTCTCGGCATGCTAAATTATCGGCCCGGAATATTACAGAAAACTTGGGCGCGGCGCCGCCTTCACGCTTCATCAATTGAATGGAATTCATGTAATCGAGACGTTGAAAACTTGAACGTGCAGTCACCCGCGTCCCAAATACATCACATGTGGGTATCCAATAGCCCGGACCAAATTGTAAGAAAGATGAGGATTCCTCATAGCTTACCTGAAAGTGTCCGAAGCGATGCGCGATGATTGCTTCCGCTGCACATCTAGGCTCATGGCGTCAAAGGCATATGAGCGGACCAGTCCGCCCTTGAAACTGTGGACAGCAAATCATGGTGCATTTGTCTTATGATTCACTTTTCATTTTTAAATTAGGTTTAGCTCATGTGATGAACTATTTGATTACCTACTTTTCATGACAACCCTAGACAGTCTAGACAATCATCTCACAAAAGAAACCGCATCAGCTAAAGCCCAAGATTATGCCTTTATTCAAATTACCCAACGTCTGAGCACAAAGTGAAAACATGACAAAGACGAAGGGACAAACCCAAGAACAAATGAAAACACTCACCGGTATGCTGGCCCAGACATATCTCAACCAGATCCAACAGTCTGAGATTACATTCATCAGATTCGCGACCGTCCGTTGGCCACCTTGTCATACGGCCGGCTCTCATAATCCACTTGTTTGTTTTTCAATCCAGGGCATATTTTAACATACTGACTGCGTCCCATTTTGGGACGCAGCCCCCTCCCTTTGGGACGTAGCACTCGCGAAATTTGGACCACTGCGTCCCACACTGAAATGTCACGATTTCAGCGGAAAAGTGCAAGCAATAATAATTAGCATGCCTCGGTCTTTTACTATGCAAGAGATGTTGCCTTTCTGATTGCTTTGTGCCCTGATTTACTATGCACCTAAGCACATACATGCGCTCTCCAGTCCTTGTGCCCTGCCCTATCCTAGGGTCGTATACCTTGTTATGTCCCATGCCCTACTATACCCCTAGGATATGTGACCTGCCCAGTGCCCTGTCCAAAGGTCTCGTACCTTGCCCTGCCCTTCCTTCAGGCCTTGCGCCCTGCTCTGCATTCAGGCCCTGTGACCCTCTCTGCCCTGCCCAGTGCCCTCAAACCCGATACCTTGTTGTCTTCCCGTCTTAACCCTATTCCTGGCGGGCTCCGCCGGGACAAGAAACTGGCGGGGGGGCCGATTCGCCCCCCCCCCCTGAGATCTCGAGAACGAAGCAAGATAGCGACAAGCGGTAAACGGCATCGGATACGCATGGACAAGGTCTACAATTTTTACTAAGGTCATTTTCAGGTCAGGTCAAAGATGACGTCACAGGGGTCGAAAAAGTCAAAATGGCGGCGCTAGATATGGAGAGAGTTTTTCTCGAATAACTTTCGAATTAGTCAAGATAGGAACAAACTAAGGGCATCATCGTGATCCTCTCGTCAATCCGCATCGAATGATATATATGTTGACCTCGAAAGGTCAAGGTCAAAGGTTGACCTCAGGTCACGTGACCTTGAGGTCATCATGTATATCATTCGATGCGTCTTGACGAGCTGAACACAATGAGACCATCCACGCGTCTGTATCTTGTTCCTGTACGGAGTTATTGGCCAAAAACCTTTGGTGACCTTTGATGACGTCACATTACCTCACAGCTGCCCAACAGCAAAACAGACCTCAAGGTAGTGAAGGTTGATCGTATATGAAGTCATGTATGGTATATGGGGCCATTCCGACCCGTTTTAGTGGTAAAAACAGGGAGTTGATTTTTCCCCCATTGACTTATAATGAGGAGGTCGCGAAACTGACCTAACCTTAGGTCACCGATATCAAAATTCCGAGATATACAAATTGCACATACTGGTACCCTAACTAAAGCCTGAAGAGAAGAAATTGATCGGTCAAAAACTCTAGCTCTGGCGTGATTGCAAACTTTTCTGAGGTAGGGTCACCAAACCGCCTCTGGTGACCTGACCTGAGGTCAGATCAACTCAAAATTTTCAGACATGTTGCGTAGAAGCCTTTTAGGAAAATTCAGAAAATTTGAGCTTCCTAGCTCAACGCGTTTGGGAGAAATAACCAAAAAACCTCAGGGGGGGCTCCTGAGGCCCCCCCCCCCCGCCAGGAATAGGGTTAAGGACCCCTTCGGTGCTGCTGCCGGTTCGGGGCTGGGTCCGGATTTCGGGAAAATTGTGCATATCTAGTCCTGTTCCTTGCCCTGCCCTCAGATCCAATAATACTGATATTGATAAAAAAATCAAATGTAAGACTTTAGCTAAAGCTGGAGAAGATTATCCATCCCTGGACCTGGGCGGAACCCAGGGAGGCGAGGCGAGTTATCACAAGCAACATAAGTGTCACCTTTAATCCCCTCCGCTCCCCTCCCCTGTGGCACCATCCACCGCCCACCACCCATTCATGATTCACATTCGCGTAGTCGCCGTGCTGGACCTGTCGGAGCCGAGGCGGACGTGCGAGCCTGGATGTTAGGCTGACCCGGGCGGAATCGGCGCCCGCCCTTCCGGGGATTCCCGGCCATTGAAACCAAAGTCCAAACCAAGGCCGTATAAGAGAGGTAACTAGAATCATCCCGCGATTTCCAATGGACCGGTCGCTAAGCATTAGCGTGACGTCACTGGTGGAGACCGGGCGGCGCCCAGCTCCAAGCTGTACGTCGGGTACATTTGGCACCGTAAAGTTGCTATTACTGAACGACGAACGTAACGACAACTAATGACTCTTAATAACTTTTTTACTCACCTATTGCTGATTTCCTTGCCGGTACATTGCCGACCCGAGCCCCAGGGTTGACAATCATGGGATATGGGTTGGATGGGCGACCTCGCGACGGGAGGAGGAACGATTGCAATTGTTGTGTTCCGCACCGCCGATTGCATTCTCTATCTGCACCAGGGGGAGGGGAAGCAGGAGGCACGTGCCCCATCGGATCAGGGGGCCTCTCGGGCCAGAGGGACCTTGCGACGCCAATTGGCGGCTGAGGGTCCACGCTGGCATCTTTCGACTCAGAAGGGCCCCACAGGGCTCGGAAGAACACCTTATGTGCTCCGAAGAGCCACACTTCTCTCCATAAGAGCCCCACACCGGCTTTTTAGTGTCCCTTGTCGGCCTTTGAGTGCCCCTTGCCGGCTTCTCAGGGCCTATTGGCGACCTCTGAGGGCTACTTGCCGGCCTCTGAGGGCCCTTACCGGCCTATCAGGGACCAGCAGCTCTAAGGGTTCCACACACGCCTGCGATGACCCCCTAAACCAGTGGTTGAAGGCCCCCACAACGGCGCCTGCGAGGGCCCTCACCGGCGGCTGTGAATGCCCCACACCGGTGCCTAGCTGAGGGCCCAACACTGCCACCTCTGAGTGCAACCGGCACCCCTAAATGAGGTCCCGAAACCAGTGCTTCTTAACACCATAAATCGGCGGCTCTGGGGGCTCAACGCCGGAGCCGCATCGGACGGCCACTCACCGGTGACTTTTGAGGGCCCCACACCGACGACTCTGAGGGCCCCACTGGCGTCTGAGTGTACCTTGCTGGTCTCTAAGGACTCCACAGGGCTCCCGAAGGCACCGCAGACCTCTTGAGAGCCCCTTGTCGGTCTCTGAGAACCCCTGTCGGCCTGTAAAGGGTTCGAGCCAGCAGCTCTAAGGGTCCCACACCGGACTGTGACATCCCCACACTGCAGTGTCTCTGAGGGCCCACAACGGCAACTGTGAGGACCCTCACCGGCGCCTCTGAGGGCCCACAGCGGCACCTCTGGGGGCCCGCACCAATGCCTCTGAGAGCATCACACCGGTATCTGTGAGGGCCCACACCAGTGCCTCCAAAGGCTTCATAACCGGCGGTCCTGAGGGCCCTACACGGGTGATTTTGAGGGGCGTACCGAAGGCAGCACACAATTCCTTAGTCTCGCTGAGCTTCTATCCCAATCCCATACCGGCTTCTATCCCAATTCCGGCTCAACTAATTATCAGCCCCCTCCCCCCTCCATGGGTCAGCAGCGCCGCGCCGTTGTCGGGGGCCAGCGCCATCGGGGTGGCAGTCGGCCACGCGCACTCAGTGGTTAGCGCTTAGCACCGGCGGCTAGCGCACGCCCGGTGTGTTATCGGCCGTGAGCCGCTCCAAAACGGCTGCAGTAACTGGTCGATATAAGTAGTAAGCAGATGCAGAGATGCAGGTGGATAAGGTATGTGCCCCTTCCGATCGAAGCATGTGCCCTATGCCACCTTTGGGACGCAGTAAAAAATCCTTAAAATATGCCCTGTTTCAATCCGAGCTTTTCTTGGTAGCGTTGATAATATCATCGTATAAACAAGTATTGATCTCACTTATCTTATCCACAGTTCACGATCACGCCAGTCACAACTCACAATCGCACTCGCGTTTATTCAATCGCGCGCACTCAAATGTTCGCTCTCTTGGCGGCTGCTTAGCAGCTGCGACTTCCAGGCGACTTCCGTTCTCGCCCGTCCGAGTAGGTATAGCGCCCCGGGGCATAACCGCCAGGGGCGGCGTCAGGTATACAGCCTGGGGAAGGCGATAACACGCCCACTCATCAACTCCCCTCCCATCAGGATATCAGCACTTTGACGGCTGACATATCCCTCCCCGGCTGCAGGTCTGATCGTCAGTACGCCCACGGGCAGCACGGCGTACGCGGTGGCGGCCGGGGCCAGTATGATCCACCCGAGCGTGCCGGCCATCATGGTGACGCCCATCTGTCCGCACTCGCTCTCCTTCCGACCGATCGTCGTGCCCGCCGGCGTCGAGCTCAAGGTCAGTATGGGGGAGGGGTACGGAGTGTGGAGTTGGGAGGGTGTCAACTGTTAAGTGATTGGAGGGAATTGTATTTGTGTTGAATAGGCACATCGAAGTGATCGAAATATCCAATGAAAACGTTTCCGACTGAATGGATATTGGATACCCGATACAGAGTGGGAACAATTGAGAACTTCTCTCAGCTGATGGCGTCCGCGAATTTAATTGAACCAATCAATGCGACAATAGGTATTCACATAGGGCGGTCCATTTCGAATGCTTCATTTTTCATCGCTGTTAACAGAATGCTAGTTAAGTGAAAGACAGAATTATATTTTTTAATATAGACGAGATATTTATGCATGAGCTGTCTGTTTGATGCAACTTTGATTTGGATTTGTTAAAGGGACCCTCCCACCTTCAAAAAAGTTAATGAATTGGCATGAAAGTGATGTCGCTCGGTTCAGAAAGAGCAAAAACGAATATCTACCAAATTTCATCGAAAAAATATTCACCGGTTTTCAAGATATTAGACTTTTCCTTTTGTTTACTTTTTGGGATCTCCGCTGTTCCTAGCGACTTTATTTGAAAGTGCGGCATTTGTTGCGCGCAAAGCAGCATATACCACCGCGTGCTACAAAACGTTTTAGTCAAATTAATGACGGACGTTCGAAAGCCTGATGACGTCATCAGACTCCCGTAATGGTTAAGAGATAGGGACCACGCTGGTCCCACCCTGCAAGTAAAGGGAAGAAATTTCTTGAACACCATAAAGCTGCGGGCGTTGCGACCAGGATGAATGGTGGTTTCTGAGCCTGGCCGCAAACTTGGCTATCTCAACTCAAAACTAATGTTAAGGTGGGAGGGTCCCTTTAAATCATTTGATCATTTTGTTCCCATAAAACATAGGTATGTACCAGGTGTCTCGAGCTTCCCACGTGTGATCTCTCTCCTCGCTCTCTCTCTCTCTCTCTCTCTCTCTCTCTCTCTCTCTCTCTCTCTCTCTCTCTCTCTCTCTCTCTCTCTCTCTCTCTCTCTCTCTCTCTCTCTCTCTCTCTCTCTCTCTCTCTCCTCTCTCTCTCTCTCTCTTTCTCTCTCTCTCTCTCTCTCTCTCTCTCTCTCTCTCCTCTCTCTCTCTCTCTCTCTACCCTGATCTGACCCGCCGGCTGACCTCGGTCAGATAATGGTCAGCCAGGAGAGTCGTAACACGGCCTGGGTGTCCTTCGACGGTCGCCGCAGTGAGGAGCTGCTGAAGGGAGACAGGTGTGACCCCTGACCCGAGCTGCTGTGAATAGCACGCTCCTGACCCCGGCTGTGAATAGCGCTGACGGCTGCGCTGACCGCTGACAGGAGTCGCGCTGACCGCTGACATCTGACCGCTGACTGTTCGCTGTGTGCCGCAGATCTGCCTGAACCCTGACGCGCGCAACACTGCCTGGGCTTCGTTCGACGGCATGCACCATCAGGAGCTCAGAAAAGGCGATAGGTCGGTAGCTCCCCAAAAATTACTCTTCACTGCCCCCACATCCCTTTCTTGGGCTGAACAAAACTGGTTGAGGTGGTGGCTGCTTCGCACACAAGTTTCTTCGGCTGCACTAAACTTCCGTCATGATTTCATAAAAGGCACCAGCACTCTTCGGCTTTCTGCAAACAGTTCTTTATTTGATACTTATCTCTTCAACACTTAGGCACCCTTTAGAAAATAACGATATCAACTTTTTGTCTTTTATGGGTGTGAGAGGCCTGAGGCACATCAAACAGTCTTCATATTTCTCAATAATCCTAGATGAACATCTTCTGAGTGATCTTTCGAACGTCTCGACATACCTTTTCTGACTCCTGTGGTAGATCAGCACTTTTAATGCCACGCTTTGTTTGTGTCTGCTTATTTATAGCACTTGTCATTGCACTTAGCACAAGTTTGTATTTTGTCTCTTTACAAATAAAGAGGCTGCAACTGTGTTTTGGTTTCACGTTTGCTTATCTCATAACTGCATGCTGGTTCAATGTAGCCTGATGTTGTTTGTAATTATTTGCTTTTGCATGTTTTGTGTTTCAGTAGTATAACTGAACAATCTTTGGATACGTACAAAATGCAGATCCAGCTTTTTTGCCAATATGACATAAAATAATGTATAGGTATCAACCGACACTAGCATACGCCGATTCGAACTACGCTGGTTTTTAACCGTAACGATGACCACTGAGCGCCTTTACGACCCACACTCAACCCTTCCCATACCCTGACCATCTCTGTTCCACCCCTCAGTCTGCGGGTGACGACGTCCGTGTTCCCGGTGCCGTCCATCTGTTCGTCCGACCAGATCACCGACTGGTTCGACTCACTGGACGAGTGCCTGCGCTGGAACGACCGTAAGAAGCAGCGTCAGCTCGAGTCGGTCGACTACCCACCTCCGGGTCCCGAGTATAAACAGCATCAGAGCTAGGGCGGAGACTGCATCGCGGGGGACTGACGGGAGAGTGAGCTCGCGTGGGGGATTCGTGAGCCAGACGGGATCACTTTGTGGAGCTGGTGATCCGTGCTGTTGACCTGGGACCACTATGATCCGTTTCGAGGTCAGGCCGATCCTATTTCGGATCACGAGGTCGTGATCTTGAGGCACGCGATGCTGATTGAGTTTCACGAGATACGTACTCGCGATTATCCGTCCACAAGGCTGCCGGGCCGGGGATCCGCCCTCTCTGTATAAAGTCTGTACGGGAATGTCAGGGGGCGCCTTCGTCTCAGCCCGTCATCTGCGCCACGGTGTAGACGTGAGTTCTTCAGACTCAACTGAGCTCTCGGCTAATTGAGTACGTTCGCGGAGTTTGAGATGACGATGAACCGGAGCTGCGCTCTATATATGACATAGACTCGTTAAGTGGTGAGGGTGGCGCGGTACGGTACAGCGCGCTATGGATGTTTCTCAAGTGGTCTTCTATTTCCTAAACCCGTGCCTCGGGCGGCCAACATTGTGCCTTGTAATCCGCATGATGTATATTTCTACAGTATATATTACAAGTATTTTAGATAATGACCAGACGCAATACTACTGAACATTCACTTTTATGTTTCAGGCATTGAAAACGGAACTTTCGCTTTTCAGTCTAAACTTTAATTTTCCGTAACCAAACTTAGCCCTATGATATGCATTTCTATCATTTGAAATGTTTCTTATTTTCAAAAGCAATGGATTTATGATCTATTATTTTGCTGTACAAAAAGTCACATGTTTTCTTCTGTTCATTATTTGCAAAGTTAATATTTAACTCAAATAATTATCACTAATTTATACTCTCTTGTTCCTATATATATATAGCAATATTTTCTGGTTGATCGTGACAAATGTTTATATTGACAAGAATCCCAATATATTTAGTTTCTACATGCTGACGAGAGCTGCTTGTGAGATCAACGGCGTACCGTGTCGATTGTCGAATGACTGCGGGAAAGTGGTGCCTTCTTACAACGACGGACCGTAAAATATGCCCTGTTCTTTATCGTAGACAGGCTGAAACCTATACACGTCTAGCAATGTTTGGATTGGTTGATCCAATCCAATGACAACTTCATACGCATGTACAGTCGTGAATATATTCAAATTTTCGGAGCGCATTGTGACACGGCGAGCCAGAGGAATGTCCATAACCATTGAAGGCTTGAGAAATTCAAGCCCACAGATCATCACACATTGACAACCGCTTTTCATCAACATTCAAATTACACGTAATAATAGTAAAATCACGAGGACCTGGACACGACAAGGCAATCAAGATAGCCTGGGATTTTGTTTGCACTTGTTCATGCAGTGAAAGGACAGAGTAAGAAATAAAATGTGAAAAATAAGCTGGGAGTGCGTTCACATAAAACCTTTCTTTAGTACAGGTCTCCAATGCAATATACATAGGCAAACTACAGACATTACACATGCACATCTTAGGAATAATCGCCACACTGTGCCTTTCGACAATTTAATCAGTGATCACATAAAAACAGGACACACAAATTCATAGGCTTGTTGAAAACATTCTTGACTTACGAATACAAATCACATGATCTGTGCACATGACTCTCACAGTTATCATTCGGACCGACAAATCACATGGCACCTCACAGGCCCACCTCCCCACAACCACACCCGCACCGAGCTCAGAGAGCCTTTCCACTCTCACACCACAAATGTTACTCTAGCGGGGAGAGTGGCAAAGCTCTAGTATCCGACTCCACCACCAGATGACTCAGCCGGCGCTCCAGGCCCTCGATGTCTCCGTCGGTTTCGGTGATTCGGCGCGTCAGCTGAGAGAGCCTCTGCTGCTCCTCGCGGATGCTTTGGTCCAGCCGATACAGTACGGTTTCCAATCTGGCGAGGGAACACGCACCATTAGCGAATGCCCGCCCGGAGAGCGGCTGCCTCGGGATGATATTGATGACGTCATTGAGATACAAACCCGGGGGTCGGGAGATGACCTTGGGGACGGTGAGGGGCGGGGGGGGGGGGGTGATGACGGAGGAGGCGATGACGGCTGCGATCAGCCGCGGAGATGACGCGGCCCTCCCGGCACTGACTGCAGCCCCCCGGGTCGATGGGGATGAGCTGCAGCCGCATTTATCAGGGACCGGGCGGTGCCTTTGCAGCCGGTCAGAGAGGTTATACTGGCGGCTCCACCGCTCCATATCGATAATATTTCCCGACAGAGCAGATAACCTGTCAGATGGGCGGGAAAAGGCCAGGAAGGTGACAGATGGCGCGAAAATTCCCGGTGCGGTGGAGAAAGGGGATCACACACTCAGTCAGTCTATGTAGTGATCAATACATTAGAAACGATTATTATATCCTTTAATTTTCAAAGCAAAAGAAGCAAATTGTGAATACTAGGTTGTAAAATGTAGATAGATAAAACAAAGCATCCTTATCCAAGTATCATAGGTCAAGCAGCCAAGCTATCATACGTCGTGCTACTATCAGCATGCACCAAAGATAAACAAATCCATAGCTAAGCTCTAGTAATCAGATACCTAAACATCGACTGCAAAGTGCAAGTCAATGACAAGGGTTGACAATTTTTAGCTTTATTTCTAAGCTTTCGCCGACAAGGAAACGGCAAGATCAGATCAGTGGACGGCGTATCTTCCTGGTCCATCCCGTCGGCCGTTCAGTGGCCCTGTTTGCTATTCCTGCCGATAGGTGTCACTAGTGGTCGGCGCCTGATGTTATGCTGTGCCGCATAACCCTGGCGAAGGATTTCGCGCCGCAAATGGTAGTGGCTGGGGAACGGGTGTGAAGGAGATTACGAGAAGAGAGAGACGGAGAGAGAGAGAGAGAGAGAGAGAGAGAGAGAGAGAGAGAGAGAGAGAGAGAGAGAGAGAGAGAGAGAGAGAGAGAGAGAGAGAGAGAGAGAGAGAGAGAGAGAGAGAGAGAGAGAGAGAGAGATATATGGAGAGGGAGAGAGAGAGAAAGTTAGCTGTTTGCTATGTTGCACCTAAGCAAAGAAAATAGTTTGTTTATTTTATCGTTTTTTTTACAACAGCATGTTTCGTTCACATAAAACGCGTCTTCATTCAGCGTAAGCACAGTCTCTACTCTATATTAGCATTCATGTTTGATGCCGCAAGCTTTTGAGCAGCCCATTGCCTCCTGATGAGCCCTGTTAGTGTCCATTATTCAAGTTCATTGCCGATGCATTTCTCACTCCCTTCCGATCCAGTATTCTACTCTGAATTGGCTGCAAATTGCTTCATTCACAGGCGAACGCTTTATGCACCATTGGAGCATGAATAATTGTCCACCTTGTTTCAGACAATATTGGTATTTTACGCACCTTTATATATTACTCGCACAATTTCACAATACCTAGGTGAAGGAAAATGTGGCATTCTTGGTTATTGGTCACCTTATAAGAGAACAGACTGCATCGAGGCTACAAAACAATAATTCTGGCTATTGCAGTCCTCTCCAGTCTCCATGGGGCAGCAAATCCAATGCTGTCTGGCATTCTCTCTATTCCCCCAGGGGACCGGGCCACGACCATAGGTACCCGAGTTGGAGAGCCTTATGAAGATAGGCAGGTGCGGATAACTGCGGCGGGCGTCGTTACCAGCACTGCAAATGGAACTGGCCAGACGGTTTATTGGCCATAGACAGACGCCCAATTTCCTTAGTTTTAATGAAACTCTCCAACTGCGACCTAATGTGAGCGACAGACGAAAACAGAAAAGTAGTAGACAAAAAAGGCTATTTAAAATCAGGAATAAGGGTCAAAGGAAAAATCCATTATATAACGCTCAAATTATCTATCAATGAAAAATACGTTTGCTTCGTTTATTCTGTCTTTAAATTTGCATAAATTAAAGATATTGTAAACAATGGTCAATGTAGTACTACAATCGGTCAAAAACAAATCAGTTTGCCTCATAGACACAAGTATACTGAATAGCGTAAAACTTCTGAAAAAGCAGCAAGTATATAAAAGTACCTAATGCCACATTTCGTGAGCAGCAGTATGGAATGGATTTTGCAGTGTTTTCATTTAAAAGCAAATAGCAGACATGCGGCGCCCGTCACGACCATTGGTATCGGACCATTCAAGACGGCAGTTGAAAAACGTCGACCCAGTTTGAAGGGACTATCCCACCTTCTAAAATGTTGTTAAAACCAGTTAAATTGTGCCCGACTTTATAGATTGGATGACCAGGAACACGGTTCTGGCATTTATTTTTCATTAAACATCTTAGGCTTTCCATATTCCAAACACAAACTTTCAAATATGTGACGTCACAGCTCAAAATTACCTCCTTCCCCAGGCCACATTACTGTCATAAAGCTGATTCTTTTTACTCTGTAGGCACCACAACAAAGTTTAGACCAAGTTTTAAGCGATTTTTCAACGAACAAACCCATTTAAATCAGAATGACTAAACGAGGTGACGTCACACTAACGGTCGCTCCATGTTGAAGATAGGGCCTTGTACAAGGCCCATTTTCAAATGAAGGGAACGAATTTCTTCAACACCAAGAGGCCGCGGGGGTTGCAACCTAGATAGATAGTGGTTTCTGAACCTCGCCGCAAACTTGGCTATCTCAACTCAAACCCCATGTTAAAGGTGGGATAATCCCTTTGAGGACATGAGCAGCCGGTAAATCACCGTACCTTTTTCTCTCGAAGGCTCCGTCGCGGGTGAGTTTGGCCTTGACCTGGTCCAGTTTCAGCTGGGTCTGATCCCTCTGCTCCTGAATCCGCTGTTTCTGCCGCTCGCTCTCCGCCCGACCCGCCTCCAGCCTGGTTCGAGTCTTCAGCTTCAAGTTGAGTTTCTGCTCCGCCAGCACGGGGTTACCCAGGCGGCGCAGGACCTGAACACGGAAAAGAAGTAGCGAGGTCATAATTATAAGCAGAAACTAGGTATAATCACGGCAGCAAACAGGGGATGGAACATAAAAGAACAGACTGTATTTCCTAAGGAAACCACGAGTGTTCCAGCGAATGCCGACATTGTAGCTTGATCTACAGGGCTGCTCAGACGAAGTCTCGCAGTCACCAAACCAAATAACCATTGCGACCGTCATATATCGTGTGATATATTCTCCTCCGCAGCCTAAAATAGCCCCAACTGTGACTTCAAGTGGCGCCTTTGAGCCCAGGGCTGCGATGGCGTCCTATTTCCAGCTCAGCTCAATCTCCACTAATCTCCGCACCGCTCTGCCTCTCCTCCGCCACTCTGCCGCGGTCAGCGTCGATCACGACAAAGGGAGCCGCTCGCAGCGGTCGGTCCGTGTTTACGACGTGCCGTCTGCGGGGGACGGCCACTGCCCGGCGAGCCAGAGACCGCGACCGGAGCCCCCGACCGACAGCGACCCGGCGCGGCGGCGCTGACACGACCGGGCCGAGCGGCGGCGGCGACAGCGAAAAGGTCACCAGGTCAGCCGGACCGTCAGCAATGATGACGAGGCCGGGAGATGCCGTTCTGGGCCTTATTGGCCGCGGCTGAGCGGGCAGCTACCGTCCCCTATAGTGGATGATGGTAGCGTGGGATGCCTGTTCTCATATCCAGGCAGAGTCGCAGGGTACCCGCCAGAAAGAGCAGCTCAGCATTGGCTTTATTCGGGCAGCGGGTCTTACGATGCTGAAGCTGTGCTCTCAGAATAAATCTTATCGAGTTTTTGCGTCATTGTGGCCCAGTGTGCCAGACAGTGCTGAATGCTGATGACTATGGTGATAACCTTCTTAGCATTTGCAGACGGCGGTACCACGGACGTCACATTTCTTGGTAGGAATTTTCTGTAGAATTTATCAAAAAAAAAACTCGGACGCATTTATGCATCACTTAAAGGGAGATAATGAGCTTTCTTTTTTCTTTAATAAAAATTACTCGACATCTATACTATTTCTACTGTAGTTTCTATAAAATATGAAAATTTCCTAGCACATTTTCGTATGTGAAAAAGGTTTTTATTTTTGCAAAAAAGAAGCAGTACTTGCAGTACTTGTAACACCCACCGAAATGCGTTGTCCTTCTTGTCCTTCTCTATAAAAAAGTCGCAGTATATGGCGCTTTTGTTTCAAACAGCGACGCTTGGGTTTTTGTTTATGTTATCGCCTTGTCGTTGCTTGGTTGTAAGGATTCTAATTTGAATTAGAGTTAATTCGGTTTAGAATTAATTAGATTCGTACATAGTGCCTACTCTTCTTTGTTTCCAAGTATTATTTTGCGCCACAAATGAACGGCATGCGCCAGAAACGCAGCCAAATCTTGCGATTGCGACTACGAAATTCATTATTTTGGCCTCAGAGCCTGAAGCGAAAAATACAAGCATATTTATTTCAAAAAGACTTCAGGTTTGTCGAACGGTGTTATGAGAATTTTGATAACAGTACTGCATAAGTTTTTCAGTGATGCCGCAAAAGTGTTGTATCTATCTTCTTTTATTGTGCAGTCGGCGGGACCGATTCAAAATTGAGTCGTTGCTACTAAAATAGCAGCATATGGCCTCAGATGATGAACAGGAAAAATAGTTGCGTAAATTTAGACATAAACCACCCCCAAACCATGAATATCTTTTGAAGGCACTATAGACGACCATTAACTAACTAGATGTGATGAAGATCAAATGTAAGGAATACGCTCATTTTACAAAATTACATGCAAGTACCAAAAAGTGATGTAAGTACTTATTCAACGGTCATTTTCAGCGCTCCCCGCTAACGTGACTTCAAGTTGAGATATTTGCGGCAAGGTACCGCATTGAGCAAAATGGTTTTAATTTACATTATAACTTGTTGTGTTTTGTCAGAAAATGGTCCTAACTCAGATTTTGTGGAAAAAGGTCATTATCTCCCTTTAAGCAAAAACACTAGCGTTTTAATTCCTGCAGCTAAATTCTGGGGAAGGTAAGACTTTATAATGTGCTACAATTTACGAACAAAGCTAAGCAATGTGTTCTTACCTCTTGTTCTTCGTCTTGCTCGATGTACTTTCCGGTCCAGCATCGGAGCGTATCGGACCCGTCACCTGTTGACCCCGACGTATCCAGATCATCTCCGAGTGACCCTGAGGTCACTGGCGAGGAGGCTCCCTCTGATTCAGACAGGGAAGACCCGAGCACCGGACGGCTAAGCGCCGGCAGCGGAGACGGTGGCGCCACCTGGGTCGGCCGCGTCTCCTCCGTCGTCTCACCCCCGCCGCGAGCTGTCAGGTCCAGCTGATGGAACTTCTGTCGTCGCTCAGCGATCTTGGTCTTGACCCTGAGCCAGAGCAGCTCCTCCGACTCCTCGTCTCTGTCAGAATCCTCGCCCTCCGGCCCACCAAGGGCTACAATGGCGTCCACCGAGCGACTGGCTGCCACTTGTGAGCGGCGTTCCTGCTCCACGGCCGGCTCCGGCTCCGGCTCCGGCTCCGGCTGCGGCTCCGGGCTGTCCTCCGGAGCCGGCCGGCGCGGCAGCGGAGACAGCGCCAGCGCGGCGGCTCGCTCCGCCTGCGCGATCTCCTCAAACATCTGCGCGGCGCGGCGGATTCTCTCTGAACGGATACTAGCCGTCTGCGCGCTGCGCTCCAGAAGTGCCCACTCAGAACCGGCCCGACGCATACCGAACTTGCCAGAGTCGGTCTGCGTCTCGACAGAGCGGAGCTTCTGCCGAGCGCAGGCGGCTGCAGCGCCAGAGGAGCCCCGGACTGAGGTCTTTCCGCCTCCGTTGGAGGTCAGAGAGGCGGGAGGGGAGACGGACCTCCGCCGGAACCGGCCGCCGGGGGGCGTGGCAGGCCGGCCCCAGCGGGATCCCAGGGTGGATCCCCGCGCAGGGGTCCGCTGGAGATCCGCAGAGTGCAGCTCCAGGTCCCAGCGGACCGAGTTGGGCGGCACGGGCTGATCAGCAAACGCCGGCGGCGGAGTGTTGGACCTGATATCGTCCAGGGAGAAGATGGGTCCTCCTCCGCGGCTCGCCGCCAGCCCGGGAGCATCCAGGCCTGTGATAAGCTGATCGCTGACGTCCGAACAGGCCTCCTCGCCGAGGTCTACCGCAGCGCCATCTGTGGAATCGTCAGCAGCCTCCGCCACCTCCCAGGTCTCAAACTCCAGACCACCTCCTCCGCTAGAAGAGAGCAGCTTCTCCGACTCAGCGGCACCTCCATAGCTGATGTTGACGGTGTTGTTCTCTCCATACGACACCGAAACCTTCTTCTCAGAGACGTCTCCGACCGAGTTCTTCTCGTCAGTGACGTCACTGCTGACGTCACTTGTGGTGTCATCGGTTTGTTGGCCGGAGCCGGCGCGCAGCACGCCCAACCAGCTGCGGTAATCGTCCCGAGAGCGGAACTGAAACGCAAGGAGGACTGGTGTCAGATGGGGACCATGCTTGGAGTCATAAAATAAGAGGTGCTGTTAGGGCAGAGGTAACATAAGTTGGAAAAAATCGTTATTTTGATATTGTATTGCTAGAGATTGTATTAAAAAACAAACAAAAATAAAAGCGTTGTTACGTCTAACTAAGTGAGGACGTGCATTGCACCCTTGAGGTTGACCGCCGCTTTCCAATCCGAATTTAAATAATTATTTGTTGTTAATAGTTTATTTACCGCGGGTGAAGTAACGAGTTACTTCGAAAACACATACTCAAGGCTCTGTTTTGTGTTGTTCTTCGAGCTTAGTTCAGGTCATCGGTAAATGAACACAGGCAGTTTGCGAGAACTTCCCAAAATAAACAAAAGCAAACAACTACACCATGCAATTAAATCATCGGGATCCCGTTTACAAATGCTAAACGGATTCAAAGCCGACCTGAAGGGTTTCCATCCAACGCTGCCTTGATCAACATTCATCGGCGCTTGCACAATTCATAAGCTATCTACAACCTCCAGGCCTCAGTTTTCGGATTATCTTCCACTCTAGTGGCTTTCTCAGTCTCCTCGCATCAGTTCGGGTCTGTTATCGGAATAGCCTGCTACGAACCGGCTTACAATGCATAGAAAAACTTGGTTTATCAGTTATCACAACAGTCAGCTGCCACAACGTCAGCGTTGAGAGTATCGAAAATGATTAGGAATTGGTAGGTTTTCCTTAGTCTCAGCAGGTTAATGTTGACCCAGGTCTTGCTAAGCTGCCGGCTCACCTCTGACTTCCGAATCCTCGAGAATAATGGATTGAACGTGTCACTACGAACACGACAGCTGAGGAACGCGCGCCTGCCACCCGGGTCACTTAGTGTCGTGTTAAACTTATGTGGCGGACATGATCATGTTACCCCTTGGAAAACGCCGACATGACTGTTGGTGCAGGCATTTCTGAGAACTCAAGCTAAGCTACTTATGGCGCCACGCCAATAAATCTTGCCTGTTATCCATTTAGAGCACGTATTTGGCCCGGAAACCATCAAGATTACCATCGCAATTAACTCCAGATGATAGATTTGTAGCATTTCGGAGCTAGAAGTCATGCAATATGTTGAAACAAGTCTGACAGGCGATGCAAAATTGGCAGCGCTCCCCGAAATAGGTACCTGATTTGCCATGGAGTGGTGCTGCATCACGAACGATGCGAGCGACTGAAAGCCGCTGCATCCGGCGCTAAGAAGTCTGCTCATGATGCCGGACTGGTTTGAGTCTCTCACACACACAGCACACACTTCCTCAGACCGCCTCCCACCACTACCAAGAAACAACTGCCCACACCAAACACACCGACCGACAATTCACAGTTCTGGTACACATCACACACATCGCCGAAAGCATTGCAACGCCACGCCCAAACTGATTGTTCCAGCGACCTGTTTACAACTGATATCTGGAGACACTTTCGCCACTGATGTCACTGCAGCAACAAGGCGTGGGAGGCGAGTGTAAAGTGTATCGCGGCTTTTCATCTGCTGAGCAAACTAATCCGACCGTGTTACAGTTTTGAACTTTATGTGGCCAAAGACGAGCAAAAGGCTAAAATTCCAATCAGGCGGGAGAATAAACGATCACCACCGTTTAAAACCCAAGGGGTCAAATGATAATGCCTAATAAAAATGGCGAATTTCAAAGGTAACAACAAACCCTTGATAATTACTTTCAATTGTCACATTATCTCCCCACATAAACTATGCAGTATGCTAGTCAGTCGTCACGTATAGTACAAAGTAGGCACAGATATTCCGTAGGTTTCCCTTTGTCTTGACAGACATTCTAACGCTAGCATGCTCCCCTTCGAATAGCTGTGGTATCTAATGTCACAATCAGTACAGCATGTCGGCAACAATGCAACTGCTCTGAACACAAATTGCGTCCAGTTTTAGCGTGACTTATCGCATTGTTCAAACATGCATCAAACAAATTGCGCTATCATAATCATTATGACAACTTGCCCGCAAAGGCAAAATCTGCAGTAAGTTCAAACATTACTTGCTTTGTTGTTGAAAGGCCTTTAATGTCCTCGCCCAATACTTCAGTGAGCTGCTTGTGCTGACGGCTTAGCCACAATTCCTCATTGCTTTTTTACTTGTTACAAAGTGCAATGCTCAGAGAAAAGTATACTTGCTTACCGCATTATAAGTTACAAAATCGGCTAGTTCGGACATTTTATCTCATCGTCATAGGCGGTGGAACGGGGAGGGCACCGGGGCACCGTGCCCCCTTTTATTTTAGCATTTTAACATTAGCCCTATGGGCGTTGCATGGAAAGAATGGGACCAAAAGTCGGCAATGCCCCCCCCCCCTTGATTGAAGGTGTTCCGCCGCTACTGCTCATCGTGTCTAACTCTCATTCCTGTCTTCCGTGCCTCGACCCGTCCTAGTTCTCTATCTCTCCTCCAACTTTACCTCCTTTACCTTACCATCCCCACACCCCAATTTAAGCGGGTGATCGTCTAATTTCGCCCACCCGCCCCTGTCCTCCCTCCCAGCACGTTTGATTGGGGTTATAACCGGTACTGACGTCAATAAGGTGGCATTGTTTGCAGATATCAGCGGAATAATGGCAGGTTAAAACGTGTCGTTTGGTGATCGGGGATGTCAATTGTCAGAGGGCTACAATTTAAGAAAATCCATGACTCTTGCTCAGACATTTTTTTTGTTACATTTATGTTGCATGCTTTTGTTTAATTTCCCCTTCGTTAATCCAACTGCGCTTAAAAAATAAACCAAAATATTAAGAATTCAAGCAAAGGCTAAATCTTGTCAGTTGCTAGTCACTTATCAGGACAAGAAAAGCTAGACGGCAAGGAGCGGGGATAATCAGACCATGTTTCTCCCGCTATGACCGCAAAAGACGGTCAACAATGCTCGGTAAAAAAGCCGAAATAGTAGCGAACAGCGAGCCAATTACACACACCAGTCGCACTAACACAATGTCCAGAGTTCTGCGGACGGCGTAATTCATTCTCTGGCAGCCAAGTATGCCGAGTGCTGTAGTTTTTACATATCTCCATCACTGAGCCATTCAAAGTGGCACCGTATACTCTCAGACCAGTGACCATTCCTGTTCTGAGCTGACTGTCGACAGTTGCTAGCACTACCGACCAACCAATCAGTGTCGATCCGTGTTGAGACAGCCAATCTACGTCCGGTGGTCCGTAACCGGTGTAGAATGACAAGCATTAGCGAGGCGTCGCTCGCCCACTGCCCGAGCTCCGTGGTGCTGCTGAAGCGCAGTAGGGTGGATTGATTATGAAGCAGACGGTGGTAGGTATGTCATGATACTATGACATGAAGCATAACAAAAGGGGTGGTCCGATAGCCCTATATTTGAAAATAACCCGAGCGTGACGATAAGACGAGTTATTCTCATCTCAGCTTGGGGTCGGCAAGATAGCGGAGCCAGCAGATGATTCAGTGCTTACTGCTTACTACACTGATATCAATGGCTATTGCCTGTGATGAATGACAATTCAACATATGATGCAGTTTCGTTCCGAGAATACACCAACCATGACAAAAACCTGTTTGCTTTGAGTACCAAATAAATGATGGCAAACATTTGTGTAATTTGATCAAACTCTAGAAAAGTGATATAAAAATGCCGAAAGCGAAAGCCACAAATCACCCCACAGGAATGCACCATACCCACCACGTGTCGACCCAACCAGGTCATCACCGCTGAACCGTGCACCGGACGGGCCACGCCCAGACGGGAAACCACAGCACGGCCCAGCAGTCGCAGCACGGCCCAGCAGCCGCAGTACGGCCCAGCAGCCACAGCCCGGCCCAGCAGCTTACCAGCGCGTCCAGCAGGCGGCTGCCCCAGCCGGAGCGGTGCAGGAGGGCGGCTGTCACCACACCAGCGGCCAGCAGGCCCGCTGCTGCTGCCGCCATCGTGTCCACAGGTCGCGACACGGTGAGAAGTGAGGAGCGTCCCGGTAGTAGCGACACTGTGCTGAGGTACTGTGGAGCGTCCACCCGCCGCGACGCCGCTCCAGCGGCCACGCGGCGCTCTTCACGGACTGGTGCTCTTCCGTTCCCGAGTCAACAGTGACGAGTCACGACTCAGGAGTCATCCGAGTCACGATTCAGGAGTCAACAGAGACACGACAGGGGTGGAGAGTCGCCAGACGGTGTTCGCAGTGGAGTGTGAGGGTCGTCACTGATCGGCTTTGATCGGCATTTGACTGATTGAAGATAGCAGCGATTGTCAGAGCGAAGTTCATCGGGTCATTGACGGATATATCTCCTCAATGTTTTCAACAAGGTGGCTATGCTTCTGTGAAGTGAGCTGCTCTATCACGGCTTTCACGGCACGGAAAGTATCACATCACAAACCGATTTGCCATGTTGCTTGAATTGTAGACCTGTATTGTATGTAGGTTCGCAGCTCGAGTGCGTGCTCTAACAGATATTGCAATGTAAAGTTTTTCAGCAAATTCAGCACTGTTAAAAACACTCAGCGTATCCACTTGCCAGCCGGCTAGTTTCAATCAAGCCTTTGCTTTTCCACTATACAGCTCCCGTCAACTGTAGTCTGCACCAGCACCTGAACCCTGAACCCTCACTAATCACAACCAGAAGCTCATGCACTGCAGTTTGTCCACCAAAGCCCACCGCTCACACAACTCTCACTAAACTCTCGGTCACTGCGCCCTCCACCTTCACCGTCGCTCACCCGACGCGTGACTTGTCACCGATCGAGTCACCGTCACTCTCTCACAGATCGCCAACCGTCACACGTCAAAGATCGTCACGTGATCAATCGCCACCGACCACAATCGTATCACAGATCGTCGACCGTCACACGTCACAGATTGTCACGTGATCAAACGCCTCCGCCCACAATCAGCTGTCTGTCTGACATGAAGCAGATAACAGTCGAGGACCAGTTCAAATACGCCCTCCTGTAAAGTTGGGTTTATAACCAGTTCGGCCGTAGGTCTTGTACAAGTGGTTTGTTTGTTCAACAGCTGCTATCTCGCGGCCTTGGAGGTCAATAATGTTGGAGTACTGATTGCCAGCCAGAGGAAGTGACCCTTTACTTATCAACCATTCTAGGAGTTGAAGAAAAACCACGTATCAGATATTGTCTCTGATGTGAAATGCTTTTGTATTTGGGTTGGTTTAAAGTAGTTACAATTTAGAGTACAAATATGTCAGCATGACTATTGACTATATACATAGTGAGCAGTGTAGGCCAATAATGCAGATTCTATTCACAATGCTGGTAATTCATTGTGCATATTTGCGTGGCAAAAGAGCTGCGCTTCACAAACAAAAGCCGACACTCTTATCACAAAACAGAGCATACAGCCCGCCGATAATAGGCAAAAACCTAAATGTCAGTGAACACAAGTGCAATGTTGTGCCAACAGGCACAGCATCGCAACCTTTATCTCTGAGCTACCCGGTAATCTCTACCGGTCTACCCTGCCTACGTCGCTGGCAGCACCGCCTATGTATACACGGTCTCTGCTCTCAGCTCGCTGTATGGATACCGACGGGGAGTCTAGCTGCCACCGATTCACGGCTGTTCATCAAACAAAGGCCGGTGTGGACCGAGCGACGCCCACAGGTGACGGTCACGCCTCGGTGACGCCCGCCAGACCGTGACGTGACGGGGTGACACGCCCCGCTCTGCAGCTATAGCCCCAGGGCCGAACGATGACGGACGGAGCGGGGAGCTGATCGGTGGAAAGTGTCGAGTCATTGATGATGACTCAGACTGTGGTGTGCTCTGCAGTCTGAGTGGTCAGTTAGCGCCGGGAAAAATTTGTAATTATCTAACGGATGCAAACTGGATTAAAGGTAGTGTGCCACCTTTGAAAGATTTCCCATTTTATTTTTCCTAGGATAAGAAGCTTCTGTTTTTACCTAATATCGCAAAAAAAATCAAAAATGGGCCTGAAATAGTGCCCTTTTCGCCTAAAAGTTTTTCGGTTTTTAGATATGTATAACAACTGTAGTGGGCTCACCTGCAAACAGGCGTCGGGCAACAATCGCGAATGCGGCGCACTTGTGACAATAAGCAAAGGTCATTATAGTGTTACGACCATACGACGTACGGGAATGAGTTATCAGCTGTCTAATCGTAGACAACACAATGTCGAGCCTTAAACTGTAAGCCCGTATTGGTATTGTTTCTTTTATTTGGCTGTCGAACATTATTTATGGTTTGAAATATGATTTTATGTAAAATAATTGATATGAAAAAGCCGTCTTATAAGTTATGACCCCATTTCACCACACGCAAGTGGCAGAAATGACAATGATCAGCTGACGCATTTTTCTTGGCCGAAGTCAGAGCGCGCGGCCCGACGCACCACGCGTATTTGGAAATTCCGACCTCGACGAGCATCAGAAGCCACCTAACAGGCGTGTTCGAAACCGCAGGAGATGATGATGAACGGGTTTATCGAAACTTGATTGGATGAGCATATCGGTAATAGCGATTTCAGTGTGTGCATTTATTGTTCATAGTGGTGTGAAATGTGGTTGGGGTACGACCGACAACCCGTCGGGGCGAATTTCGCACTGGGGTACTCAAAATTTGAAGAATTTAAGACGTTTCCATGAGTTTTGAAGGTATGAATAAGTTCTAAAAATCCGGTTCTCCTTATCTGGGCCATTAACTCCATACGGTCCAAGAAAGCTGGCACACTACCTTTAAAGAAAGAATATTTAGCAGCAAGCTTCAAAAAGCATCTTTTCAAATACAGCCTAAGAAAATACTGACACGTAGACGCGTTGTTTACATTCATCTGGCATATCACGGCACGTTTGGAGTAGCGTTTTAGTCTGCTGGAATAGTTGTAGCGCAAAACCAAATCGCGCTAATTAACTTTTTTCGTTTAGGTATCTTAGCATATCGCAGTAACTGAAAGCAATAACTCAAGTTGTTTTGAACTTGAGTTTTGATCTGTCACTGATTTGGCGAATTATGGCGCGTTGGAAATGAGGGCGTGTACAACTTTGTCAGAAATATCTCAGAAGCTGTTTTAATATCCCGTCATTTCAATCCTCGGCCAGATATTTCGTGTGATGTCAAGTCATAACTGCGCCCTTTGTTAACCCCTTACCTTTGGTACATCTAGCTTTAAGCTTACTCTGACCTCGAGCTGAGTTTTATTTTCAGCGTAGATCGATGCGCAGCCATGCCTCTGGCTGGCTGCGTCTTCCTCCACGCCCTTTATATTGCAGCTCTCGAGAAAAGAAGTTCGTCGTAAATTTAGCCGCGAAGCGGGTCGGAAAAAGCTCAGAAGTCGGCATTGCCGCCGCCTCAGCGTGGTATATCACCCAGAACTCGCAGCCAATCACAGGAAATAGCGGAACGTTCGAAGGTCGGCACTGGAGGTGGAGTTTCGCGGCTGATTTTCGGCACAGCTCGCAAAAATAAAGGAGCCAAGCCGGATTACAAGCAGCTGCGTTAGTTGGATTCTTGTGATACGGCAAGTATTGCGTACCTTTAGGAAGAGCTCCGGTGTGTGACCGCGGCATATTTTGACGGCGTTTCGGTGGCTGGTCTCGGGTGCAGACCGGATGGTGACCTCCGGAAGGCGCAGCCTCAGGTCGGGGGTGACCAGGGTGTGGCCGTGGACGGATAGGTGCTGCCGTGTCCAGCGGTGGTTCCGCGTGTCGCGGCTGGTCTCCACGATACCTGTAAAACGGGGTACAAAGTCAGGCCACCTCTGAACGGAATGGTGGGCTCGAGAGAAGCACACGGCAGAACTCAGGGAAAAAACAGAACACATATATTTGGGCATAAAGGGCAAACTTTTTTTAAAGAGAATTACGTTGGTACCGTTTCATATTGATAAGTTTGATAATGAAAACACACGAATTTATCATTTCTGACAGTAAGTCAGCGCAGGAAGTTTGCTGAACACAATTTTCAAAGCATTTATAATTGTCTAGGTAAGCAAGAAAGATAAAATAAGCGCAAGATTACTTCCAAATTTCATAAGGAAATATAGATGGCTGGTCATGAAAATATCCGAGCATATCCGGGATATCACCGTCACTAAATCAAACTCCGTGTCTTTTGACCGAGCCTGATATTACAGCTCCGAACATAACATTTTGACAGCCTCTGCGGATCGCCCTCGCTGGGTCGATCGTTTGTCTCGGGTACGGTCGTTAGTGTCGCCATCCGGCGGCCAAATCGTGAACTAATGAGCCCCTAACTCAGAGCTGCCACCGCCGCACCAGCCGACCGTTGGCGCGACGGCTGACGTGGGCGTCGTGATAGACGCCTTCCAACGTCACGGCAATTATTTCATAGAAAAGGGGAAAAATGAATCGGAATGACTGAGTTCATTGGCCTATACTGACAAATACGGACATGATTTTTATATATATAACAGTTCCTTTTGCTAAAGGTAAGTCATTTTAGCGATTATTCGAGGCTCGATTTTCACCACCCTGTTGGATAATTCTTAGGACAGCATATTGTTACATTGTGGGGAGATGTCAATTGTCAGGTGTTTGCAGAACGGTGATCGTTAGCGAATGCATAAATATTTTGCAGAGCCTCACTGGTGGCTCTTTATGGCTCTATAACGTTTGAAAGGTTTAATAAGCGCTTCATTTCGAGCCCACCGCATGCATGTAGTAGTTTTTGGCAGACGGTCGATTTCCACTTTTTGTGCATTCACTCACACGAACGCATGAGGGCATGACTAGCGATTGTTTGGCCCAAGATGACACGGTTCAGTTCGCCACTCGTGTGGGCGCACGCTTTGTAAAGAAAGGAGCGTGCAAACTCATAAGGGAACGCTAGACTGAATAGAATATGAATAGCTTGGGTATAATAGGTATCGAAATGTTATCGACGGAAAATGGTTCCTTAGATCCTATACATTTTTTTCAGTAATAATGGCTGTTATTATAGTTACTCGTATGTAACTTGTAAGCACCAGCTTTGATGGCAAGCAATGACACTAAATTACATGTTTAAAAAAATGCATTCGGGGTTGATGAAATTGAATGAACAAAAATGGTTCTCACTCAACCTAACAACTTGTTTCGGTTGAGGTAAATTCATGCATATGACACTTGTGGATCTAATGCCAAAAAAGAATAAATATCTTGAAGACAAGTGATTCACTTACCCTCCAATCGGGCAGGCAGGTCCTCGGCGTCGTCTCCCCAGCGGATGGTTCGTCTCATGCCCAGTGACGGCCCGCCACCTCCCCCGCCACCTGTAGCCGAACCCGTCTCACCAGCGACAGGCACATTTGTGAGCTCGCCTTCAGAGAGCCCCGGTCCGGCCAGGGGCGGATCCAGACCTCCCTGAACGGGGGAGCGGCCGCCGCTGCCTCGGGCACTTCTGCCTCCACCACCTCTGTCCCTGTCACTGTCTCTGATGTCTCCGTTAGTGCCTCGGCTGCCTCCTCTGTTGCCTCGGTTGCTGCCTCTGCTGGCCCCGCTACCAGCTCTTGCACTGCTACCCAAACGCCCAGAGGAGATGGAACCCCGCTCTGACCCGAAAGGGCTCTGGTCAGGGTAGATAGTCTTGTTGAGAAAGGTCATCCTCACCGGCAAGATTTTCCTCATGGGTTCGAGTCTGTGGTTCATCACCTCTCCAAGCCACTTCAATAGTCACTTTACCAGGAGCACGGTCATCTGAACTGTCCTTCCCTTGAGGTCACTGGACGACCTACGACGTCAGGCATCATTCCAAACAGGGTCCGCGGCGCCGGCCGCGGAACTGGCGCCTCCTCTTCCTCCGGCTGACGGAGTACGGTCACGTGGTCCTCGT